TGGGGCACCGGTTCAAAGCAGTAGGAGGAACAGGGTAGTTTCTAGTCAGTACGAGTCTGACACTCCTCGCCACACCCAAAGCGGGAGAAGTCATTAGATTTTTTTCCGCAATAAAAAAAGCATACCCTTTATAGGATCCAAAGATGTGACACATTTTCATTTATAGATGAAAATCTACAAGGTTGAAATTAATTCAGAGATTTTTCTTCTTTATCTTTCTTGCAAAAGAAATCCTAACACAACCACTTAGAACACATTTTACAGCACGTTGGATTTACAGTAATAAACTTCGTGATTAACAGACTACAATTCCTTTATTATCTACAAAGCTGGTCTTTGAATGTGTTGATTATTTTCTTTGAAAACTACGTAAGGCATTTTGCTGAATCGCGGAACGGGGGCGACTACAGAAACATCTATCCAGATAAATAAAATTGGACTGTCTGTTTGTAAACTTAAAATAATTTTTGTTTGTTTATTTGTACTGACTAATCTCCGGAATGCCTGGACCGATTTTGCAAGGAGTATGATAGGTTTCTTTATTCTGGAAATTTGAAACAAAAAAGAAGTTATGTCCTAAAATTCTAATTCTACGCGGGCGAAGTCGCAGTCAACAGCTAATATAAAATCATATAAATAATATATCTATTATTGTATGTAACATTACATCGCATATTTTATACTTTTCTTTATGGAATTGAGTGCAAATAATCTTGCGTTGTCAGTCTTTTAAAAAGGATAACGCTATTTTCAACCGACTTCAAAAAAAGGAGGAGGTTCTCAATTCGACTGTATTCTTATTCTTTTTTTAATTTTTTTTTATTTGAAACTATAGACTTATCGTATGGTCCTATTGTCATCAAGTCAGGATCTGATGATGGAATCCCAGGGGAACCGAGGGGATCTTTTAAAAATTATTGGGTCAACTATTGCATTTCCTAATTTTTTCATTACGTCTTTTATTAAGGTTTGTTACGAACAGGATCTAAGTATAAGTACCTATATAAAAATCAGTCAAACAAAATCAGAAACCACTTGCAACAGCAAACCATCGAAACAAAATCTATTTCGAACTAATTAACAAAGATCTCAATTACATTACAATAAGGGTCATTTTCCTAACGCAAGTACAATCAAATGACTACAAGGTACTTTCAACCTTTTTAGTAAGAAGTAAAAAGTACAAATTCTCTTGGAGCATTAAACTGAAGTGCCCTAGAAAAAGTTAAAGCGCCTCGGACTCTTGGACTATTGTAAAGTTTAGTCTGAAGCACTCAATGCCTTTGTGAACGAAGTTTTCAGAAGATTTGCTAAAGGAATTAAAGTACTCGTAAGTAATATAATTACTTACTAGCTATTACCCGCAGCTTTGTCCGCGTAGAATATATAATTTAGGACACAACTTATTTTTTGTTACAATTTCCCAAAATAAACGAAGCCTATGTTACTCCTTTGTACATCAGCTAACTGCCAATAAAAGTCCCGTCAAAATCGGTCCAGCCATTCCAGAGATTCCATAGTTAATACAAACAGACAGACAAAAAATTGTGATATGTAGATCGTATGTATATTCATATGCATGTAGTAAAAAGTGGTTTTTTTAATATATCAAACATACACTCCAATTTTATTTATCTGTATACAATTATACATAAATAAGTTCATGCCTTTGTATGAATTTCTGATTGTATCAATAGTTTTTGATTACGATCTCTATAAAGTTTAGGAAAGGGTAGATTTCTATCACTATACTGTTTACTGAGAGCAAACTTACATCGAAACTAATCATAGATAATGTAATCATTGCGCCTGCTCGTCTTTGCTATGGATAAACTTTTAATAATCTTGAACCTTTTCCTACAAAATGGCCTTAAAAAGTAAGTACTTTATCTATAGTTTAATAATAATAATAATAATAATAAAAGCCTTTATTAACAATCTCAGAGTTACATTTATCTTAATTTTACAACTATGTATTACTAATAAACGTTTTCGAATGCAACTTATAATGAATTTTAATGTGTTTGTGTTAGACACCGGTTACGTGATTGTCTTGCCCTTTGGCATAGGCCTCCCCAAGTCCTCTCCATATTTCTCTATCTCTTGCTGTCCTCATCCAACATGGCCCCGCAACCGCCTTGATATCATCTTCCCATCTTCGACACTGTCTGCCTCTCCCTCTATTTCTGTATCTGGGACACCATTCTGTCACTTCTTTCGTCCATTTTTCTATTCTACTTCTAGTAAGGTGTCCTGCCCATTTCCATTTCAGTTGCTTTATTTGGTGTGTGATATCAATAATCTTGGTCTGTTTTCTGATTGTTTTTAGTCTTATTCTATCTTTTGTTTTTAAGTTTAATATGCTTCTCTCCATTTTGTGTTGGCAAATTTCTAGTGATTTGATGTTTTTCTTTGTACAGCTCCATGTCTGACATCCGTAGGTCATACTTGGTAGAATACATGTATTAAATATTTTCTTCTTTCCCTCGATAGGTATATCATTGTTTTTCATTATGTCTTTCAGTGTCCAATATCTCTTCCATCCCAAGTTTATCCTATTTTGCACTTCCTTTGTTGTTATGTCTTTTGGAGATATTATTTGGCCTAAGTATGTATATTCGTTTACGTATTCTAATTCAGCTGCATTTTTAGGTTTGATGGGGGTTTTTACACAATTTGTCATTAATTTTGTTTTACTGGTGTTTATTGTTAGTCCTACCTTTTCGCTTTCCCGTATAAGTTGTTCAATCATGATCTGGAGGGTTTCTGAATTCTCACCTATCAGTATAAGATCGTCTGCGAATCTGAGATGGTTCAATAAAACTCCATTCACATTTATACCATATTCTCTCCATTCCATTTGTCTAAATATATGTTCTAGGGTCGCTAGAAACAGTTTCGGTGACAAGGGATCGCCTTGCCTAACCCCTTTCTCAATGGGGAAGTATTCTCCCGCTTTTTCTGTTCTTACTTTAGCTTTCATATTTCTGTATATGTTCTTTATAATGTTAATGTATTTTTTGTGGACCCGTTGTGCGTTAAGGGCTTCCCATATTTTTTTATGTTTCAACGAATCAAATGCCTTGTTGTAATCTATAAATGCTAGGTAGTAGTTTATTCTATATTCGTTGCATTTCTGAATTATTTGTTTGATGGTATGGATGTGGTCGATGGTTGAGAAACCACTCCGGAACCCTGCCTGTTCTTTTGGCTGATTTTCGTCTATAGTTTTCGTTATTCGGTCAAGAATTATTTTTGAAAAAATTTTGTACACGTTGGACATTAATGAAATTGGCCTGTAGTTCGATATGTCGTCTGTTCTTCCTTTTTTGTGGAGTAAAATTATTGTAGATGTTGTCCACTGGAGAGGTATATATTCGGTTCTTAAAATTTGATTAAAAAGGTCTGTCAGTGTGTCGAGGATCGTGTCTGATGTTCCTATTAAAAGTTCGTTTGTGATGTTATCCTCGCCGGGTGCTTTTCCTCTTTTTTGTGATCTGATAGCTTTACTCACTTCATTTGTTAATATGTCCGGAACCATTTCTTCATCGCTACTGGTGACACTGTTTTCACCTGTGATTGGTGTACTTGGTTGATCATGGTAAAGATCGCGGTAAAAATCAGTCGCTGTATTTAATATTTCGGTTCTTATAGATTTTAGTTTTTGGGTTTTATGATGCGTCACATTGGTGATCCAGTTTCTATGTTCTTCAAGTTCTTTCCACGCACTTTTAATTCCCCCTACTTTTGTTATATGGTGTCGTATTGCATTTGTTTTTTGTGTGTTTCTGTATTTTTTTATTGCAATGCTGATCAATTTACTTATTTTAGTTATATTTTGTCTATTGTACTTTCTGTTCTCAAATAGAAGTATTCTTTGTTTAATTAATTTTCTTGCTTCGGACCCTATCCTATCTTTGAGTGGTTTGACTTTTTCTAGTATTTTATTAATTCCTTTCATTTCTTCCTCCAAACTATTATATTTTTCTTGGATTGTTTTTAGTTGGTCTATTGGCTTTAATTTATCTTTTAAGAGTTCTAAAATATGGTTTGGTAGTGGTATTGTGATTGGTTGTTTAGTATTTTGTATCCATTTTCTAGATTTTTTTATTTCGTTTATGTATAATTCACCTCTAAGTAGTCTGTGGTCAGTAAAAAAGTTGAATTTGTTAAGGACTTCTACGTTTGAGAAAAGTTTTGGTTTATTTGTTAATATGAAATCTATTTCATTTCTTACTTGGCCGTTGGGAGATTCCCATGTCCATTTTCTTTTAGGTTTTTTATTGTAAAAAGTATTCATAATACGTAGGTTATGTTCTATCGCGTAGTTTATCATTCTTTGTCCGTTTTTGTTACGCTTGCCTGTTGCATAAGGACCCAGTATTTTTTCTTCATTCTTCTCTAGTTGACCAATCTGACTATTAAAGTCTCCCATTACAATAATGGTTTTGTTCAAAGTTTCCATTGTTTCATTTAGGTTTTTGTAAAAGTTATTTTTAATTTCCTTACTCGCAACTTCAGTAGGAGCATATACTTGAACTATCGATGATGGGTGTTTGTGATTGGGAAACAAAATGTTTAGGACAACAATCCTATCTGAAACTCCTTTAAATTCTATAATGTTGTTTTTTAAATATTTTTTTACTAAGAAGCCCACTCCGTATATTCCTGGTATTTCATTTTTATAGTACATTATGTATTCTTTGTGTTCCTCTATATTTTCTTTCGACCTCCGTACATCAGATATACCAAGAATATCCCACTTAATGTTATTTAATGCGTGTTCAAGTTCTATTAGAGTTTCATCTGATTTTAACGATCTTGTGTTCAATGTTGCTATGTGGAGTTTCTTTTTCTTAATGTTTATAGCTGTTTTATTTTCCATTTCTGGTATTACTTTTTGGGGGAGTCGGTCTTTAACCCCGCGGTGACCAACCGTATTGGGGTTTTTCTTGTGTTCTCCTTTATTCTTGCCTATGTAGGTTATCGTTTTAATTTCGTTTCCGGTGTCTGTTGTTTCCTATGCATTATGTTTTTGGGGTGGTTTTGCGGTGGAAGATACAGATCTTGCCCTCATATACTCAAATGCATTAGTTTTGTGCAGTTTAGGGGGTGCGCTGACGTTATTCGAGCCACCTGTTGGTGAATATACATTTGTGTTGTTAGGTGATATCGAGGCTTCCCTCTTCCTTTTTTCTGCATCGGTTGTATCTTTTATTATTATTTTATTGTTTAGAATGAATGCATCTTTCCCGTTTAGTTTTTCTTCTTTGAGTTTTTCCTGTAGATTTTTCCTCATTTCCATCGTTTCTTTTGAAAAATCTTCAGTAATGTAGGTGGGTTTCGGCATTTTCGTTTTGTTTTTTAGTATTTTAAGCTTCTTTTGGAACGACGTAAAGGAAACAAGGATTGGTCTGATTTTGTTTCCTCCCTGTCTCTTCCCTATTCTTTTATAGCTATTTGTTTCGTATATATTAATGTCGATATCTAAGAAATTTATTGTTTCTTTAATTAAATCAAACAGTTCCTGGGGATTGTTTTCTGTTTCTTTTATACCATGTAGTACTAGATTATTCTTCCTATTTTGTCCATCTAAGTATTTTACTTTTTGCACTAGTCTTTGTACTTCGTTTTTCAAATACTTGTTTTCTTCCACAATTGTTTGCAGTTTCTCATCAATTTTGTGTATGATACTTTCAGTCACGGCATTTGTAATGGTTGCAGTTTGTTGATGAAGTTCAGTTTTCATCATCTGAAATAGCTGCGCCATCTCCGGTGACATTTCAGTAATTGTACTCATGTCGCAAAAACGAAACGTAATTTATTTATATATTTGTTTTTTTTTTTTTTTTTGCAACACTGAGATACTTCTGTCACCGACAAGTGTCAACGTCAAATGTCACAGAGTTGACAACTGACAGTGTCAGTTGGTTGACACTTCTTTTTTGAGATATTTCTAACCTCACTTCTTAGCAAATTTTATTTGTAATTGTATTTGTTATTAATCGAGATTTCCGCAGAACTGTATACGTTGTCCGCGTAGATATTTCTTAGTGGTAAAACATTTGTTATAAACTGCTAGTATATGCTTAAATTTCGTATGTTTTTAATTTAATCACTGGGAGCACTTTTTGCACACTCCTATCTATAGTTTACCATTTATTAATTAGTAAGGCCTATTTTATTAATAACTGAAACAAAATACTGGCCATATCACCGAAATTCCATTTTTAAATAAACCTAATAATCCTTTACCTGAACCAAGCTCAAAATAAGGACAATTTTTACGTCGTCGGCGTCGGCGTCGCATGTCAAACTTTTTTAAATCCCATCCTAGGGCAGGATAACCTCGTAATCCTCAGCTACGTTCCAATTCGCAGAGTAACGTGTTTACGCTTGCATTCTGCTTCGAGAATTTTCGATGTCAATTTTGGTACCTGAATTTGTTTGTGTACCTCCATGCATATTCATTTAGTGTCTGTTTGGATGTTTTAGGTGTGTGTTATCATTTATTTGCATGTGTGATGTGACTACAAAGTAAAGACTCTAAAGTCCAATAATTTATTATCGGGTCTGGATAAGTTTTTGGAACTGGAACTGGGTAGTTTCCAGGGAATCAAAATTAAAAATCTAATTAGTCCGTCAGTTAGATAATGAAACAATATTAGACACGTATTTTTTTATTTTCTCGTAATAAGTGCAATACTTAGATAAAATGGCGCTAAGTTTAGAAGTGGGAGGTCATTACGTCATAACGTGCTACAAAATGTGGTACGCTGTGACGTCACACGATATTTCAAATTAATATATCGTCGAAAGTATTTAATTTTGTGAGAAAAGAAAAAATACGTGTCTAAAGTTTTAAATTAATGTACCAGACGGACATTAAAATATAATTTAGAAAACTACCCTATTGTGCCCGATATATAGCAATGAATATAGTCCCCTTCCTATATCCCTTTACACCCGATAGATTTTTATTTTGAAATCGTCTATGTAATGATTTTTACATCATTCTGTAGAGCCGTAGGGGCTTCGAAAAAATACTGAAAAAAATCTCAGGTTTATAGTTAACCCAGGAGTTAACCCTCACGATCGTGAGTTTTAGGTACAACTTGACTACTCACGATCGTGAGGGTAATTTAAATAGAATGTTTATCTTGATAGTTGGATGGAAAATTAAACTGATATATAAATGTTTGGGAGCTTATTACTTTAATCACCCATTCTAGAATCAGTCCACGTTATTAAACTTACTATCGAATCCTTAATTCTTAAAAAACCAGCTTTGGTAACAAAAGTCATAAAACTCAAAGGACTTCTACAGCTGATAGTAATTAATATTATTTAATCACAAAAAGGAACTATCAAAATTATGGTTCTTGATGATATGACTTAAAACAGTCTTTCCCACGGGAAAGCACAAGTATGTGTCACATTTTTCGCATCGTATCTTCGTGCGGCTGCCACAAGTTTCATGTCGACTCATTCTTGGAGCTTTTATTTCACCAAATACCGGAAAATGCTCATAACCGTCATATATTTTTGCTTCAGAAGGTTTATTTGCTGACCTGTAGTATCTTCGAACTGAAAAATCATTTTCCACTAGCGGATCATTCTCAATATCACTGGACATTCGGCGTTCTTTGGATGGAATACTTGATAATCCGTCGGCTATGTTAGACGAAAATCCAATAAGGGCAAAATGTTTTTCCTGCTTAGCAATCCTAGCATCAGTGTTGAATTTAATTGCAGCACGATCAGAGATCCGGTTCATCATTATCGTTCCAGTGCCATGAAGATTCCTCCTGTGCTCTTCGATCAATGCGACAGTAGTAAAAAACCTATCATGGCAGATACAGCTTCCAGGTGGGATAATTTTACTCAAATGGAGAACCACAGAAGGCCTCATCCCGATTGGAGAGTCTCCAACCTCGGGTTCTTCTTCGGATTCCATGCCAGAGAATATTTCCTCGAAATTGAGATCTTTCAGGAGGACATTACGTTGAAATTTGTCATCATCTTCACCAAAATCTTCAATTTTGGAAAGGTTTCCATGACCCAAGATTTGTGAAATTTGACCGTCATTCATCTCTTGTCCTAAAAACAAGAAAATATGCACATTTTCAAATTTAATTCAAGCACAATTAATAAATAAAGGTTTATAAGTTTTAAATTATTTCTTGAACGTACAACCGAAGCCACACAATCGTAGCAGTCAAATTTTATGACGAAATTGTATCCAAACCACAACGAAATTAATTAAAGTAAAAGAACTTTATTAATAAGTGTTTATTTGACTTTAAATTTACTTAAAAACTTAATACATTACTAAACAAATAATACGCGTAACTAGTACTTACCGGTGACGCTGCGAGAGTCAAAACACGTCGCCATCTCACACCAAGGCTCGCAAGACACTGGCCGCTCGCACGGGCCTCGCGATTTTGTTGGCGCAAGCGAGATACCCTCACGATAGATCGATGCCGGTTGCGTTCGCAAAAAGCAAACGGTTTGGCGCCAGAATTTTTTAAAAGTTAAACGCACGCTCATTTCATCCCGGGTGTAAAGGGATACCTTCCTATTCCTTCATATAGTCCACCACATGGGATATATGGATCCCAAAAAAAGAAGGTGTTCATTACGTGCTGTCTTTCCTACCAATACTAAATGTTAGTGTTCGGTTTGCTATCTTACAATTTAAAATACCCCATAACGATTATAAGGGAACCTAGTCAACGGAAATAACAACTCACTTACTCTAAGTACCTCATTGACAGACCAAAAGCTGTTAAACTAAGTCGGTAAGTCCCAGTCCTATTAGTTTTGAACTAAGGTCGTGAGTCCCCAAAATGTTCGGGCATTAACTTGTATCAATTTATTTATCTGTTCGATCACTTTTGACCTTTGGGTCTTCGGCCTTCCACGTATTTCGAGTTTCCAGTTATACATCCGATTACCCTTTCGAGATAATACTTAAAATATAACGTAACGCCACGACTTTGTCTAAAAGAGTAGGCATAATTACCTTGAACTTCGAAACACCCACTTTTATCCACAGTTTTCATGATTATCTATATAAATAAAAATGAATTTCCGTTCGTTAGTCTCGCCAATACTGGAGAACGGCTGAACCGATTTTCTAATTTTGGTCTTGAAATTATCGTGGAAGTTCAGGGAAGGTTTAAATGGTGAGAAAACACTTTTGGCGGTACGAAGTTCGCTGGGTCAGCTAGTCGCTTATAATAATATCTATTGCCGGGTACAACTCTGCATTCCACGTTAATGACAATACCTCAAGGTACTGGTAAGATAGTGAATAAAAGTTAATTTCAAGTACGAAAGCTTGCTTCATTTGAGAACTAGCCACCTAGTAGTGAGTGTCGGAATGTTGCACAAAATTAAAATGCTCGTTTCTGGTATGATTGCGAATCGACAGGCGTTCGCTTTTTGAGCATGCTCTATTGAACGCTTTTTAGCAAGCTATTTTAGAGCTTGTGAAACAGTACCATGATTATGACACACACGTCTGATTCGAAAATTTACTCAAGATCCTTGTTTATGTCATACTTAACGTCGAGGCTTCTCAAAAGTGTAAAAGTTATTCGCTATATTTAATAAGACAAGATGATAGCTCGCTTATACATTAAAATATTTCATAAATTATGCAACAATGAACTCTATGTAGGAATATTTAAATTGCATTAATCTGTTCTAAACACATTTGTAACAAACGCTGCCAATCAACGTAGATTATGTAGATAATTAAGCTTACTTCTGACATGACAGCTTAAACCGTACGTGTTTAACGGCTTTATTTACGTTGGAATAATAATAATTAAATATCTTTCTTGCATTAGCCCTGATTGTTCATTTTAATTTAAAAATATACAAAATGTTATACCATAACCGTAATATTTTTCTCTTCGTAGTCAATTAAAATATCTCCTTATTTAAAGCTCGTAAAATCTTAAAAATTCTTTCTTTGAATATTAATATTATGAGTCTAACTTAAAGCAATCCATATGTAGAATAATAGGTCATCCTGTTAAGGCCTAACATTACTTAGAATACATGTTTGTAGGTACTCACCTTCAACAGCCATAAAAATAGAAGCACCCATAATACTGTACAACACCAAACACAAACTTAAGAAGAGATGCGTGAACCACTTCTTAGACAATAACTTCAACTTATTGTACAACCAAAACGCTGTCTTTTCTCCAGCACTCAGTCCATGTTTCGTCGTATTTATTGTAAAGTCTTTGAAACCCTCGAATTGTTTAAACATAAACTCTGAAGCTTTATTATGATACATATGCATGAAGGGATTGAAATAAGGATTCCCATGAGGATCAGATATGTGTGATCCTGGCGTCCCTGGAGGCTTCCCATGGAACCTCGAGTGCCAGTTAACCGAAGCACTCGTCGGAGGGCCTCTAGGAGTCATTTGCACTGAAGAGTCAGGTATCTGCAACGTTATCTTCGGGCGCACTGGCCTCGCAGGTGGAGGCGGTGGCGGATAACTAGGCGGAACATCCAGACTAGCCATTTTCACTGTTTATAGAGCTTTTAATAACACTACACTGTTTATTGAGTGCAAGCTGAGCGGCGCGCGATCTCAGCCCAATGTTTGCGTTAGCGCCGGCGCGGATTGTTACTCGGAAGCTACATTGACATTACTGAATATTTTTCGCGGTGAGGCTGTAGACGTGCGAGAGAGTCCGAACTGGCTGGACACTGATTTTATAAATAAAACGGGAGTTAGCGAGTGCTTCCCGTTGTGTCATCCGCGCTTGTCTGTCGGTTATCTCTCATGTAGTAATCACTGCCAATACGGTTCGGTTCCGTGAACTTTTCATGAGTAAATTTCATTGGTGCCTCTTTTCACAGAACCAAGTGTTCCACTCGGCTTCACTCGAAAAAGTTCACGTTTCCTCATGTTTTACATCAATCACTTTTATCGCAATTGATTTTAGGCACGCTTCGTACACTTCTTGCGAACTCTTCAACACTTCGGACGTATTTAACAGAAATTATGTTTTAATTGTTACGTAAATAGCCTTTACATGTTTATAATATACCAATTACGTTAATTTCCTTGACAAGCCCTTTCATATTATGCTAATTTTAA